AGACAGTGAGGTGTTCCTATCCCTATTAATAGATAATATTAATAAACAGAACTACAGATATATATTAAATTTAGATAGAATAGATATGAATAGAGCATCTACTGCTTCTTCCAATCTTATTTATCAATATAAATATTTAGTCATAGTTCCTATTCATTTCATTAGACAATCTTGCCTCTTCCTATCCACTCTATGAGATTACTTTAACCCTACCCATGGTCCACTCCACATAGCTCAGAAACTATTTTAATTTCTGCAAATAGAGATTGCCCTGAAAACAAAGAATGATAGAAGAGGCCCTAGATTAACTAGGTGGAAGTGACCCAAAGAGTCTTCAGCCATGGACGGGAGAGAGCAGCAAGTTAATAAACAATCACAGTTTAATCCATATGGCTTTATCTTGGAGATAATAAGAGATAGCTACAAAATGAGAACTAGTATTAATAAATGCAATAAAATAATAAATAATAAAACATGATGCCAGAATGACTCTAGAATTTTTATATAAAAGGGACTTTTAGGGGTAGCATATTTACTTAGATGACTTTGAGGGAAAGCTGATGAAGATTAGGGGTAGGGCGTATTAAAATCTCTCCAAGTCATTCCTTGGATTGTACTGGCCACACCCATGGTATGTTGCTTTTCTTTAAAGGTAAAAAGAGCTAGCCAATTTATTTTCAAATACTTCAAGATGAGTACAATCTCATTTAAATAAAAATAATTAGCAAAAATAAATGTAAATAGACTTTTATTATAATCAGATTCTCTCACTAAACTTTCCTAAAATGAACATTTGAAGTAATGTCAGTGGAGTAGTTAATTCTAAATAAGATCAGCACTCAAAATAAAATATCAAGGTCTCCTTTCTAAAGCCTCTAATTTCTCACTACTGTTCATCGCTATTGCTGTTCTCTTCATCCTTCTCAGGGTGAATTCATTAAATAGCAGCAGAGTATATCAAATACTAATCTAACCCAGTGTGTCCACCACAGTATTTGTTACACTGCATTGTACTGAACAAATCACGACCCCATTCATAAAAAGGACACATAGTAAATCACCAGTGATAAACCAACACATAGTAAATCACCAGTGATAAACCAACAAACTCAAATAGACAACAAAAATTAACATATATATTTGGAATCTGGCTCTTCTCTAACTAAAACCTATTATAAATGCAATGAATCAATTACCTTCCAATAATTCTAGATTCTCTACATAAATAAGGCCCATAACTGATGAATTCATCATGTTAATTTGATAACTCTTTTAAAAGTTTTTTAAAGTTTCATCTTTGGGGATATTATTCAGAGAAAAAACCAAAGTTGTTCAGTAGAAAAAAGTTGTTAGAATTATTATTGTTTAGCTCACAAACAAAATAAGGTGATTCCATGCTCAAGCAATAGGGGGAAAACAACTCCTTTAGAGGTAGCAATGAATCTGCATATGAATATGCATGTGACCAATCATGAATCTGATGAGACTCTCAGAAAAATACACTGGCAGCACTTGGGCTGGCCTGCTTCTTAGATAACACGGAAAGAGTATGTGGTCTAAACATACACTCCTACTGATTTAAGAACCAAATTCAGCCCATGATGGTCACTGATATTCTAAAGTTATCATATTGCCAATATTAAATTGGATTTGAACATTCAGAATACAATATAAACAAGCCAAATCACTCATATCACAAATTATAGACTACATATTTAAAATCACAATCTACTGGTAAGCATATCAAAGTACCTGCAGAGAATTCAAGAATCCCTTGACTACTACTGGGGAACACTTCTGACGAGCTTAACTGAAAGCTTTCTTAGGAACAGGAGGAAGGAAACCAAATAGCATTGTAAGCACACTATCTCCCATAATATGTATTTGTTTAAAATCAAGACCATAAACTAAGGAATGAGATGGAAGGCTAGCTCTGTAATTTCCAGAAATGTTAAATTCAAGCTACACACAAGAAAACATCACATTGGTGAACTTTAAATGTGGAGCACAAACCTGACAAAAGAAAACAACAGGAAAAATATATAGGTCATATCTCAACAAAATACCACAACCATTTTTTTCAGAGGAGAAAGGATTCATTTAAAATCCCTTGTTAAGCCTGGCCGGATGACTCAGCTGGTTGAACATTGTCCTGTACACCAAAAAAAAAACAGGAAAAAAAAGTAGGGGAGGTGTGGGTTCAATCCCCTGGTCAGATCAGGGCAACCAATCAGCGTTTCTCCCTCTCTCTCTCTCTTTCTCAATCAATCAATGAAAATATCCTTAGGTGAGGATTTTTTTAATCACTTGTTGATTTAAATATTAGAAGTGTTTCTCAAAGAAAAAAAGAAAGGAGATGAAATGAAAACACTTTTAAATATACAAAGAGGGAAATTTGTGTATTTTTTGTTAATATTATATAAATTATTATATCAGTTATTTCATTCATTCTATTGAGGATAAGCCTACTTTAAAACATAGGTTTATTCACATCTAGTACTTTAATGCAATAAATATGATTTGAGTATTTAACAAACATTAAGGAAATGTTGGCCCTTAGACTACCAAGAAAGAGAAGAGATGCAGAAAGCAAGCAGAGATCCACCTAAAAGATAAAATTTTCTTTACTGGCTTAAACTATTTGCTGACACCAGAGTTTCCAAGCATTAATTGGAATTCTTAGCTCTGAGTAGAATGGAAGCCTAAGAGCTTTTCTTAATCTACTATCATCCATTATCTATCATAAAGGCTGCACACATTTATGTGGCACTTAGGACCCAAAACCTTTTAATGAACACCAGTTAAAGAAAATTCAACTGGCTGGCCATACTAATGAAAGTCAAAGAAAATTCAAAACAAAACAAAAAATTCCATCAAGTTCCTTCAACATAGGGAACTTTTCCCCACACTTCAAATTACTAATATAGTTAATATTTTTAAGGTAAAACAACTGAAAATAGTCATGAGGAATATACATATATGACAAGCATAGATGAAATTACATGGCCAAAGGTACAGAGATGGGAAAATATGGATTATTACCGAGCAGTTCTTTTTGGTTGGAAAATAAAATAAGGAGAATGCCTACAGAAACTGAAAATAAGTTTATGTTGTTTTAAGCAGCTGAAAAAAAAAAAAATGAAGAAGAATAAAGGTGGAAAGGTAGATTGGGGCCATATTGTGTAAGGACCTACCTATAAGGCATTTGGTATAAAACACTAGTATAAATGTTGAGAGAATTTTGGTGAGACCTAAAGATTAGAAACATTTATTTCTAAGCCTAAATTCAACCATACAAGGAAAAAAGTGTAGTTTTGTTACTAGAAGAGAAAGGAGCAAGGTTAGCATGCTGAGCTTGGGTCTACAAGTGAGCTCACTTTGAATGGTGGCAAAGATACTGTACTTCAGTTTCCCCAGGGATATGAATAATGCCTATCTTTACCTTAATTATAGCCTTCCTATAGAAAGCACTCTGAATTAGCACCTTCATTCCAAGGCAGTCTGATGTTCAGTTATCAGCTGTCATTTGTTGAGTCCTTCCTGTGTGCCAGATATTCTGCTATATATTCTACATGGATTATATGAATAACACCCCAAAAAAACTGTTTTATAAAACCAAAACTTGTACAGCTGACAAAGAACTTGTATGTTTCCAATTTACAGAAAAGGAAAGTGAAGAATAGTTAAGTTTCCATAAAAAGTAAAGGTTAACGTTACACTCACAAAATTGGGATAAGAAGAATTATACAAAGAAGATATACGTAAGATATTCTGTGTGTGTTTGTGTGTGTACTTAAAGGATCAAACCAACTAAAATTTTCGCCAGGACTGAGAATGCTGAAAACAGTAATGATTAACAGCACTGAGTACAGTATATCCTCAAGAGAGTATAACACCACTATAATAATATCCAAGATACAAGACATAACCATTTCTTGCAATTTTCCCTAAAAACAGAAAGAACAAAATAGCAGCTGTGAAATCACCCAGACTACTAAAAAAAGCTCAGCATCTCTTAAAAAAAAAAAAAAGCCACCACTATCTCCTAATCAGCAATACATGCCAAAAACCGACAAGTCTCCACAGACTAGTCATTTATGGTAGGGTACGTTAGAGAAACAACAGGATGACAGTCGCTATCATATGGCCAGAAACCAATCCGTCAGCAATGTTTCACGTGAGATCACTTTCTCTCTCCAGAGAATGCATGATCCTGGGAAGAATAAACCAGTTTTGGCAAACCCTCATCAGGAAGAATAGCCTGCTGACGAATCTTGGAGGACGAGCCTCCATCTAGTCTCTCCACAGGTATTTAAAAAAAAAAAAAAAAAAAGCCCAGCGAGCAGGAGGAAATATTTCCAAGCCGACAGATGCGCGAACTGAAAAAGGAGGTCACGATGCTGAGAGAACAGATTTAACCCTTTGGGCACGGGAACCGAGAAGGCTAAGGGGGAGCGCATTTGCGCCCTCGGTGTTGGCGAATTTTTCTAATGATACGGACGTGCATGGCGGGAAGGCCTCAACGTCCTCGCAGGGTTCCCGCCACCCCTCAGATCATGCCGTCTTCTCCAGACAGCCGGCTACCTCGTTGGGAAGAAAGCTCTGCAGCTGCACCCAACACCTTCATCGCCCAAAACGTGCAATTCTCCCCCATTTGGTTTCCTTCCAAGGCTCCTGCAATGATTGATTGATGGACCAGACCGTACAGATTTCCCCGCGTCAAAAACAAACCCCAAGCCGAACTTTGAAACGCTCCCCCAGATCAGCCCCCGCCTCTTTCCCCTCAGGCCCGCCGCGTCCAGGCTCTAGCCCGTCAGCCTCCGGCGCGGCGTTCGGGGGCCATAGAGCCCGAGCCCCCAGCCCGGGGCCCGGGGCCTGCAGCGGGCTAGAGACAAAGAGGCTGCGGCGCCACCGCGGCCGCCAGGACCGTCCCCTCGGGGACAGCTCCGCGCCCCGCCTTCCCGCAACCCAGCTCGCACGCCGCAGCCGCCTTGCCTCACCGGTGGCAACCGGGACCAGGGTCCCTCGCCTGCCGCTGCAGCTGCCGGATGAACAATGGCAGGAGGAGGCGCTGGCGTCCGAGGCTCGGGCCCTCTGCGACTCGCGGGCTCGCAAGCTGCAGGCGGACTGACTGACTAACCCACCGGCGGAGGGAGGGAGCAAGTGAGCGAGCAAGAGGCTCCGCCGCGCGCCCTCCCGCCTTTCCTCTGTGAGGCAGGGCCAGCCCGGCCCGCAGCCAGCCCGCCCGCGCGCGCGCGCCCCTCCCCCTCTGGTCGCCACAACATTGTAGTAAATTTCTATTGGACGGCGCAGGAGGGAAGGAGGGGGCTGGGCCCGCGGCCCGTCAGCCCATTGGCTGAGGCCAAGTTCTGGCTCCACTGGTTCCCCACTCCCCAAGGCCGGTAAGGAATGGGGAGGGCAGAAAAAAAGAGGGGAAAAGGCAAGGGGCTAGCCACGAGTGCGCACGCGCGAGTCGAACCTGCTCGCAAGTCCAGGTGCTCCGGCCCCTGCAGCACCCACGTGGGGAATGAGGCAACTAGTGCCCAGGACGAAGGTGAGGCCATTTCCACCTGGAGGAGGGCCAGGTAAGAGGCTGAGATTTGAAATCCTCAGGGAAAGCTGAAATTGCTGCCAGGCTCCTCCAGCTGACTGCCCCCTAATGCACCTAGTGACCTTGGTTAAGTCATTCAGCTTTTCTGGGCCTCAGTTTCCCCTTCTAGTAAGTTGACCATCTCTAGATGCCATTCTAATCCTGACGTTCCATTAGACTTTACCTCTCCTTACAGCTGGGTAAGGCCTGAAATGGAAGCTGAGTGTTGTGGCCGCACCAAGATTTCAGCTGTCTTCTATGTTTAATGATCTAATTCTGCCCTGGCACCCTCAAAATCATAAAAACCTAGATGAACTTAGGGTTGCTCTGACAATTGCCTTGTATGCCTTTATTTCCTTTCGGAAGTTTCAGAGGCCCCTTGACCCTTCACATTCCCTGAAAGGTTGGTTTCTGAAAGGCTGGGGCCTCGCAGAGCAGGAAAGAAGGCTCTGTTTTAAGCATGGTCCCTATAAAGTAAGACAGGTTCTGCTATTCCCATTTTAGAGAATAAGAAGCCCAAGCAGAGAAGCTTAGACCTGCCAGGATAAGAAGCCAGGCAATCTGACATCAGAGCCTGTACATGCCAGCTACACTGCCTTAGTATCTAATCATAGCCCTCTCACATCTCAGCTCAGCCTCTAGAAATCGACTACCTAGGTTCAATTCTCAAACTCCAGCCCTCCCTAATTGTTTGGCTCCATAAAAGGGGATAATAGTTCTACCTCATAAGAGTTATTATAGGAATTAAATGAGTTAAAATATGTAAAGGTGTTACAGCAGTGTCTAGCTCATAGTATGAGCTACATAAGTGTTAATTATTACTGCTATTTGGAGACTAGCATGGACTGAGAGATGTGGAGCTGATTAACATAATAATAACGTATTGCCTGGCCAGGCGTGGTCCAGCAGCTGAGCATCGACCTAGGATCTAGAAGACCGTGGTTCGATTCCTGATCAGGGCACATGCCTGGGTTGCAGCCTCAATCCCCAGTTGGGGGCATGCAGGAGGCAGCTGATCAATGGCTACTCTCTCATCATTGATGTTTCCATCTCTCTCTCTCCCTCTCCCTTCCTCTCTGAAGTCAATAAAGATATATTTAAATAATAATAACATATTTGTTAAGCACTCAATTGTTGTCAGCCCTGTACTGAGCACATTATATGAATTATCTATTTGAAACATCCTGAGAACCCCTAGAGGACCACCTGACTACCCTATCTAAAACTGCCTCCACTCACACTCCCTTGCCCTGCTCTGATTTTGCTTCATAGTACTTACTTCTACCTGACTCTACTATATATGTACTATTTATTTGTTGTCCCTCTCAATAAATTGCTGCAGTATAGACCCAGTAGACTGCAAGCTTCAGGTGGGCAGGGACTTTGTCCCTCTTTTTCATCTAATGAACAAGTTATTTTTTATATAAGGAAGCTGAGGCTTATAAGGTCAGATGACTTGGCCAAGGTCATGCTGTGTACTAGGGGTGAAACACCTGTTCTTGAATACTCTGGTCCCCTGTCTTAGGTCCTCCAGTTGAGCCATGCTTTTGATTGGGGAAGCTCTAGACCTACCACCTCTGTGCCTCAGAGGCTTCCTACACCTAGACCTGGAAATCTGCTACCATGAAGGATAAATCCCAAAGATCAACCACAAGAGAGCTCACCACTACCACCAAATTCAGATTTATAAAAAACAATATTCTCTATGCCGTAAAGTGCTATGCAATGGCATATCATATTAAAGAGGCTTGGTTGGATGCATGGAGTGTACAGTATTTAATAAACATTACCCTGAAAAAAGTAGGGGTCTCAGGCTAGCAGAAAATGGCTAGACACAGGCAGGTGTAAACCACTCTTAAATTCAGAGTGCCATGCAACAGCACACCAAGAACTGTTGGCACAGGCTTTAGAATTTGAAAGACTTAAATTCTAGTCCTGGCTTTTAGCCTGAAGATGAAAGAGCTTTGTAAACTGTAAAGGACCATCCACACAGGGGGAATTTTTGTTATTAATTAGGTGCACGCCATCACCTTTTATGTTAAATGCCCAGTCCTGAGTATAGCTGGGCCCAACACATAACTGGGGATAGGGGATAGGTAAGTAATGCCTAATCTGAAAGCAGAGAAACTACCCCTACTCATATGCCCATCTGTCCTCTCAAAAGAAGCCTCTGCAAACCACACATTGAGTCCCAACTCACCCCGCAGAGTGAGGGTGAGTGATGGTTGCCACTGGGTACCAAGGGTAAAGATCTCAAGCACCATCTCTGAAGCTAATCATCTAGGCAGAAACTCAGCCCTGCCTGCTCCATGCTCACATCTGGGTGGTGGCTGTGCCATGCTCCAAGCCCCAGGATGGGATCTCTAGGGGCCATCTCTATCCCGCCTGCCAGCTGAGCCCACCATTGTCTCCCCCACCACCCCTCCTGTTCCTTCCTAGGGAATACAGGCCCTGCTGGCTGCCTGTCAGCCCCAGGAGCAGTCAAGGCCACTAAGGAAAAAAACAAAAAGAAAAAAAGGCAGCATGAAAGGGTCCTAATCCTTCCCCACTGCAAACTGAGCTCCAGCAAAAGCAAACACCAGCTGCATGGAAGAGGGTGAAATTAGATGGTGAAATTAGGTGGTGACCAGTGGGGAAAGCCAGGGAGGGTAGATGGGGCCTCCAATGACCTGGAAGAGATGAGATTGAAAGAAAGTAGGGGTAGAGTGGGGGCACAGTTGGAGTCTGAGCCATTCCCAAATCTGGGACATGGGCGGATTAGGGACACAGCTGGCCTAACACCCCAATGATAGGGCTCATGGAAAACATTTGTCTGTTGTGGGGAGGTGGCAAGAGATGAAGAGGGCTTTGAAAAGCTGAGCCCACCAGCAAAGTGTTCTGAACAGTAACTATTGAATAAAAATCAGTCCTGGTACCAAAAGTACATGAAGAGTAGAGATTTCCATCCTGCCTATAGTCATAAAATTGTAGTCATTTTAGATCTATTAAACACAAATGATAAATCAAGCAAGTTATAACAGCGCAGGAAAATTACTGTTCATACAGTGGTATATCTTTCTAGGGGATTATTTTTAGTAGTAGGACTTGAATGTTCATAAAAAATATGTAGTTAAATTAAAAGGAAAAATTATAATCACCATAAAGCCATGAGTCAGAAATAGCCACCATCAATATTTTGGTGGGAGACTTCCTTCAAGTACTATTTCTTACAGATACACTTTTTTCTTTTTATATGTATTAAGTCATATGAAATTGCTGATTTTATAGGTTAAAAATGGTCAAAATGTCAGCAAATTGCATATGCTTTTTAAAATTTAGATCATATTGTTTTGGAACCAACTTTTTTCACCTAACAATATATTATGACATTTGCATCACCATTTTTAACAGTGCCCTGTTTTTTTATTATTATTATTATTATTAAGTGGATAGACCATAATTTAGTTAAAGCTAAATGTTGGACATTTAGGTTATTCCCCCCACACCATCCCCCCTTTTTTTTCTCTTATACGCTACCTGAAAAACATCCTTTTATCTAAATCATACCCATGATTATTTTTTTAGGATGCACTGACTGCAGCCTATTTTTTTAAATTATAGCATGCAAGCCTACCTGTTCTGGTTGAGATAAAAGCAAAAAAAAAGAAAAAATCAGATGCAATGAAAGACTATTTGAAAACACAGAGTATGCTTTGACCTCTTTAACACAATGCATTTTGCTTACAAAATTACATTAAGCTCTGTCTTAATGAGTTTTCTGTGTACAGTAAAAGCAAAAAACTAAGTGTAAGTAAAATAAATGTATTCAAGTTGACAAGTTATGTCCTTTCTGCTGTGCAGACGCTCCAAAAAATGAGCAGAAGGGATGGATGTTGAAATTGTAAAAGAAGAGCTGGCAGACAGGTGCTAAGGTATTCCTTTAGGCCCCTAGATTCACAAAATGTTAGGACTGAATAGGACCTTAGAGATCATCAAGCCCAAGCTGCTAACTTTTAAACAGTTTGGGAAATGGATCCAGAAACTAGAAAGGACTTGCCCAAAGTCACACAGTATTGGGGTGGCAGAGCCCAAACTTGAACCCAAGTCTTCCAACCCTACAACAGGATTCTGTTTGCTGCCTTCTTCTAAGTCCAGCTACATTTCCCTTCCAAAGCTGGAGGCCAGGCTAAATTCTACAGCCATAAAACCTAGGAATGTCTGAGCTGGAAGGGACTTTAGAAATAATTTATTATTAAAAATAATGACAGCCCGGCCGGGCGTGGCTCAGCGGTTGAGTGTCGACCTAGGATCCAGGTGATCGGGGTTCGATTCCTGGTCAGGGCACATGCTCGGGATGTAGGCTCGATTCCCAGCCGGGGGCGTGCAGGAGGCAGCCAATCAATGACTCTCTCATCATTGATGTTTCTATCTCTCTCTCCCTCTCCTTTCCTCTCTCTGAAATCAATAAAGATATATTTTTTAAAAAATAAATAAATAAAAATAAATAAAAATAAAAATAATGACAGCCACATTTATGAGGTATTTACTCTGTGCCTGGCACATACTAAGTACTTTACTTTTTTTTAAATTATTATTATTTTTTTAATCCTCACCCGAGGATATTTTTTCATTGCTTTTCAGAGAGAGTGGAAGGGGGAGAGAGAGGGAGAGAGAAGCATCAATGTCAGAGAAACACATCGATTGGTTGCCTCCCACACTCGCCGTGACTGGAGCTCAGGATCGAGCCTGCAACCAAGGTACGTGCCCTTGGCCGGAATCAAACCTGGGGACCCTTTAGTCCGCAGGCCGACGATCTAGCCACTGAGCCAAACCGGCGAGGGCCATACTAAGTACTTTAGATGCACTATTGCATTCAGCCTTATAGTAACCCTGCAAGGTATTATTAGCTTCAATTATAGTTATAGAAACTACAGCCTAGAAGTGTCAGGTGATTGCCTAAAGTTACACAGCTTAAACTAGGTCTGTATGATCCCACTATCC